TGGAACAAGAAAGTGGTCCGAGTCTATGTTTGGCCTTCGGAGGCGACATACGTACCTTCAGTCTATCACAAAATTATCGATTTCGTTGCTCGTTTCTAGGTCCGGAGACAGCCAAGTTGATTGATGGATGTCTTTCTGCTTGAACTTAGTACTGCATACTACCATGTTTCAAGCCCCGGTGAAGTCGACAAGCTGCAGGCCGTTATCAGACGTTTCATTGTGGAGGCGGAATTTTCTCACGGTGGGGCAAAATATCCCTTCCTTGTCCAGCCTGGCATTAAAATCAAATTTGCGCCGCAATAGATGGCCCCGGCATTTCTGGTCTCGTCTTGGTGTCAGCCTTTCCCCTTACAAGGACATGAACCAACCTTACAGAGGTACCTTCCCCATTAGGGTCCGGACATTCCAGGTGCATACCCTAAATCCGCAGTCGTTTGAAAGTTTGTTTGGTCGATTTTAAAACGGGGGTTTCATCCGAGGCTACATTTTCTTTATTCACTGGAATGGGTTTTTACGTGGCGGGTCCCCAACCTAGCGTACAACCCAAAGCTCAGAGGGGATGGTTTATTAACTCTTCGTGTCATTTCACGAACTAAAATCTACAGACAATTGAGCTATTTGATACATATGTATGCACATAAATACATACTCGTAGTTGTCAAAAACAGCTGTTCTAAGGCGAAATCACAAAGCCATAACAACTCATTTATGCATTGTATTCTACACCTTTTGCCGGCACTCGTTGTAGCTCAACTCGAAATTTGAGCAGAAAAATTTACTAACGAGCTTTTTGCCAAGTTCAATAAGCTGTTCTGCGCTCAAATGTCGGGCGAAAAGCTTCTTTGGCTGGCGCCAGGCATAATATTCATGTTTCTGTTACAAGCTGCAATAAAAACAAAAACATCGGATACGATTGACAACCGGCACAATATCTTGCACAAAATCGCTGATTTCATTTAAACACACTAACATTTGTATATACACACATACATATGTAACATACAGGTGAATAAAGAGATGGCAGAAAAATGTCCGGCTATTTGTGGCACCAACTAACTGTAACTGTGACAGTTGAAGGCCATCAAAGGGACCGTACTGGCATTTGACCGTTGAAGCGGCTCAAACGCAACCCCTGCATGAATGAACGGTTACAAAGAGTGGCTGCTGATGGCGATGGCAGCAGCTGTGGCGCCACTTGTGGCCAGCTCGTGTAAAATAAGTAGGTAACGCACCAACGCCCACCGTGTCGCCCGTCAAGCCTTCACTGGCCATACGTACATACATACATATAACGGGTGATTTTTTAAGAGCTTGATACCTTTTTTTTTAAAAAAAACGCACAAAATCTCATCGGTTCTTTATTTGAAACGTTAGATTGGTCCATGAC